TGAGGTCGTCGGCCCAGCAGGCTACCGCGTATAGCCGGTAGGCTTTGAGGAAGTCCACGACCGAGATGCGCTTTGCCATGAGCGAATTGTACACCTGGCTCCCTGAACCAGCAAGCCGCGCCTCCAATCCCTCAGCAAAATAGTGCAACAACCTTTGTTTGGCGTCTCCCCATGGAGAAGAGTGCTGCTTGATCTTCCTAAGCAGATCGGCCGTGCTCCGGTGGTCATCCATTGCCATGGCCTATGCACAATGTATGAGCAAGGTGCACAATTCCATCGTTCCATTGGTGCTCCGGGCAATCCCATTCCGGCTCTTCTTCTTCTCAGCCTCACTGCCCATATTGATGCGGAGGCTCTCCACCTCTCTAAGGAACAATTGGAACCCATTGGCAATCATTTCGTCAACCACCTCACCAGATTCCTCTGCCTCTAGTTCCCTGCCAAATTGGCCTCCAGGACATCGTCCCAATTGTGCGGTTCTTGCGGCCCCTGCCCAAATTAGCATTTCCCTCCTCTGCCTCTCCCTTCAGTTGAAGGACGTTGGCAGAGCCGCGCAGCAGATCGATGTCTCTAGGCAGGAATTTGTTGGCCTCTTGCATGCCCTTGAGGAACACCAAGTTGAGCATGGCGTCGCTTCCCCCATCCTGCTGGGCGCTGAAGAACGCCGAGGCCAGCGCGGCGTGGTCACCATCGATGGCTGCAAGCATGGTGTGGTTGGCCTTTTCCTCCATCTCCTCCCAGCAGCGGCGTCACTCCGGACGCCAGCATCCCCCAGTTGCGCTTGCGCCGATCTCTGCTCAGATGCGTTGCTGGCATCCGTGGTGAGGTCATCGGCCCAGCAGGCTGCCGCGTAAAGCCGATAGGCTTTGAGGAAGTCCACGGCCGAGATGCGCTTTGCCATGAGCGAATTGTACACCTGGCTCCCTGAACCAGCAAGCCGCGCCTCCAATCCCTCAGCAAAATAGTGCGCCAGCCTTTGTGTGGCATCTCCCCATGGAGAAGAGTGTTGCTTGATCTTCTTAAGCAGATCGGCCGCGCTCCGACGGTCGTCCGTTGCCACGGCTTGTGCACAATGTATGAGCAAGGTGCACAAGTCCACCGTTCCATTGGTGCTCCTCGCAATCCCGTTCCTGCTCTTCTTCTTCTTCTTCTCAGCCTCACTGCCCATACTGATGCGGAGGCTCTCCACCTCTCTGAGGAACAATTGGAACCCATTGGCAATCATTTCGTCAACCACCTCACTAGATTCCTCCGCCTCTGGCTCCCTGCCAAATTGGCCTCCAGGACATCGTCCCAGTTGTGCCGGTTCTTGCGGCCCCTGCCCAAATTGGCATTTCCCTCCTCTGCCTCTCCCTTCACTTGAAGGACGTTGGTAGAGCCACGCAACAGATCGATGTCTCTAGGCAGGAACTTGTTGGCCTCTTGCATGCCCTTGAGGAACACCAAGTTGAGCATGGCGTCGCTTCCCTCATCCCGCTGGGCGCTGAAGAACGCCGAGGCCAGCGCGGCGTGGTCACCATCGACGGCTGCAAGCATGGTGCGGTTGGCCTTTTCCTCCATCTCCTCCCCGGCAGCGGCGTCACTCCGGACGCTAGCATCCCCCAGTTGCGCTTGCGCCAGGCTCTGCTCAGACGCGTTGCTGGCATCCATGGTGAGGTCGTCGGCCCCCACTCTCGCGTCGGAGCCGGAGGACACCGAGACAGTGGGGCTGCCGTCCAAAGAGGAATCCTGCGGTGGCGTCGGAGAGGACCCGCGCGTCCGATTCCTAGGCTTGGAGCAGCGCGGGGTGGTCCGGGTACTGGTAGAAGAACTCTTCCTCGACCCCGTCCTCCATGAGCATGCGCTCGATGAAGGGGAGCACGAGGTCGTCGGAGGCCGGGTCCTTTCCCTCGCCATTGCCATCAGGGCGGGGCCTTGGGGGCAGGTTGAGGAAGATGGAGGGGGAGAAGGGTTCGTCAAGGTCCGCCACGAAATCGTCCGGCGAGGCGGCCATGGCTGCCAGGCTGGGTAGTCTGGGTGGGATAAAAAAAATGAAAAGGGATTGCCGTTGGGGTGGACTGGTGGGCGGATAAAAACGGAATCTTTTTTCGTTTCTTGAGAGGGACAGGCACAGGGAGGGGAGGGGAGGGGAGGCGCCGAGAAGTTCCTTCTGAAAATTCTGATGCGACGTCGGCGGCTCCGAGATGGCCTCGTTTAGTTCGGCCGCCGAATTTCCGGCGGTACTGTAGTTACAGTACCGTTTTGTTTTTATTTGGTAACAATTATTCAATCGTTGACTAATTAGGCTCAAAACGTTCGTCTCACAAAGTACAACTAAACTGTGCAATTAGTTTTTAATTTCATCAATATTTAATACTTCATGCATGTACCGTAAGTTTGATGTAACGGAAAATCTTCTTTTTGTATAGTGTCAAATTCTAGAATTGGGGAACTAAACATGGCCCAAACGCAACTGCGATGGGGCCTGCTGCGACTCTTCTTTTGTCTTCTCCCGTTCGTGGACCCTCCGGAGACGTCAAATTTGCAAACAGTCCTCTGTTCTTCTGCCTGAAATTGCCAAGTTTCTTCCTCCATCGGCAGGGGTTTGACAAGAGCCTGCAGTATCAGACACCTGCTACATTATTGAAACAGACAGTTCTTTTACTTTCTTATTAGAACGCAGCAAACACACAATGCACTCACCTGATATATGAATATGATTAGGTAACAGTGGTCTGTCTCTGTCACCTGGCATAACAAAATTCTGAATTTGTTCATGCTGAATAATATATAAATGGATGGACAAAGCAAAAGACAGACCAAGTTGCACATGCTTGAAATCTGCATATGTCAGCCTCTAAAAATCAGACTGCCCACATTTCCTCAGATCTTCATACCCTACTCCAAACATGGACTCTTGAACAAAATTATTACTGTACCAAACCTGAAAAGTAAATTAATAAACATGACAGAGCTGCATAGAGTGAACCTATTACACCCTCCAAAAAACATTATGATTCTCTATGCTAGAACACTCCATAGAAAGAAACTGTCTTCGGAAAAACAAAGTGATAAATGACCAAGGCAAGCAACAAACATCTCTAATCTGAAGTTAGAGTTTCATCAAAAGCTCAAGTCTTACTGGAATCCTAGCTAGGTGCTTGACATTTGACAAGAGTCTCTGCAGTATCAAACACCTGGTACTTGGAAACAGAGTAACTGACTATTCTCTTCCTACTAAAGTTTTTCCTTTTCTTACTAGAATGCAGCATAGACACACTGCACTGCACCTAATTCATGATACTAAATTATGGCCTGTCACTAGGGTACAAAATAATCCTGAATTTGTCCATGCTGCATATGCATAGGTCATATAACATATATATAAATGGACGGACAGAGCAAAAAACTGACCAAATTGTACCTTCTTCAAATCTGCATATGTCAGCTTCTAACAATCAGATTGTCCACATTTGGTCAGGTGTTCATACCCTGCTATAAACTTGGAATCTTGAACAAAATTATTACTGTACCAACCCTGAAGAGTAAACAAATAAAAATGATAGAGAAATGCATACCGTGAGCCTACACCCTTCCAAGAAAGAAGTTTTTGAGTATCTAAAGCTATAACACTCCATAGAGAAAGAAATTGTCTTAAGAAAAACATAGGGTGAGAAATGACTGAGGCAAGCAACAAACATCTCTGATCTCAAGTTTGTTCAATGTTAATCGAGTTTGATCAAAAGCTCAAAGTCTTACTGGAATCCTAGTAGGCTCAGCATTCAACGCACCAGTAAGCTTCAATATCAACCAATGAACATGCGGAAGCATCATTGCAGAAACTGCTACTACGAATCTCTTATGCCTATATAAAGCTCAAGGTTCATACTACTGTGAAATTGTGAATCCCAATAGGTAGAGAATTGTGTTAAAATTAACTGACGCCCAATTTGCAGATGTGCAGCTGTGGGCCTTTCTCTGTCATCACCACTAACATAGTACTACTGTGAACAAATTTTTATGATAAAAGGATCATTGTAAGCTTACATTGACCATAATGTTTCCATCTCTGTTCAGAAACTCACAATTGTCATACTATTTACTATGTATCATCACATATAAGAAGATGCCATCCAGCACCTCTCCCAAAATTGCAGAAACAGTTTCTTTGAAAGGCCCTTGTACCTGGGCATGCTACTATATCATTTGTACTTCCTACGCTTTGAGTAAAAGATTTAGTCAGGTAGGTGGCATAAGCCTACCATAGTTTGAGTCCAAAAAGGAAAAAAAACAGAAACACCTCTTTCAACTGTACTCTGAATGAAATAATCAAGAAAAATATTCAGCGGAAACCGTCCCCAGGAATTTGAAACTAGGTAGAAAATGGGGAAAGTATGATAGGGGTACCAATAAGTTTGCATTTGAAACAATCACCAAAAAACAAAGAAGCAAAAAATCAATACTCTGAATAACAGAATAATATGTGCAATTTTAATGCTTAATCTCGTGCCCATTTACTCTTTCCAGGTGCAAGGGAATACAATGTTACAACAGAAAGTGGACTTCACAATACAGGTACCACAAGTGGTTTTTCAGTTTGTTGTACATTTACACAGGTTCAGTATCAACACACTGAGAACTAATATAAGATCCTATGCAGCTATAAGAAACAAAAAGAACACCCAAATAAACATCTACTATTACATTATTAGAAGACATTATAATGCATCTACTGCTTATGTCCAAGCATCTTCAAATAAAGTGTATTGAATCACATAAAACAGAGGCATATATCTCCGTATCTTGTGATGAAAAGCCATTAATATTCTGAGATAGCATCATCTGAATTCTGAAACTCATGTCGACATGGCACAAAGTATGCGTACCTTCCACCCTTGTAGACAGGCAAGGTGGTGGGTAAGAAAGCTGAGCAGCTCATGAAGTTCATTGGTAAGACAAAAATTCAGAAACATATGTATAGTTGCAATTATCGATATTGCTGTATGTGGTGAGAAAAGCAGCTAAAGTTCTGAGACAGCATCATCTGCAACCCATGTCGACATGGCATAGAGTATGCGTCCCTTCCATCCTTGCAGGAGCCAGTTATGATCCGTATCAATGACAAAGTCCTTGTGATACTGATCCCTAACTTTGTCCCTCAAGGTCTTTACAATATCTGGATCCAGTGGAAGTTGCCTTAGCCCTGCCCGGTGGTTCCGCACCTGCCATTGCTTATATGTCTCCGGGCGCTCCACCCTGTCCGTGCCCTCACAGGCAACAACATTCAGGCTACACTGCCTAAAGAGGACCCGCTCAACCAAAAAGCGCTGGTGACTATCCCGTGGAGCCGTGGCATCCAGCATGTCAAACATTGCGGAGTAAAAGAACAGCACATCCCGGAAACGTGTTACAAAGAATGGAGCACTATACGAGGCATTCATGACATAAAGGATGAACGCATCAGGTTGCATCTTGCGAATGGTTCTGAGGACAACATCCCTAGGGCTTGGGCTATCAATGTCGACCCCCTCATCCATCAAATTTCCAAACTGCATGATACTGTTGACAATGAGTACCTCATCAGGGTCAATGTTCAGGTCATCAGCACAAACTGTGTCCCACCTCACCGTGATGCCGTGGAACTTGAATGGCACACCGAGCTGACGAGCATAATTGCTAAGCCGCCGCCCTGTCTCCTCGATCCGCACAGCTGGGCGGAAGCCGGGCTGGGGGAGATCAATGCCAGTGATCCTCACTTCAGGAGGTCCACCCTCCAAGGTCGCCAAACGGTATAGCAAAGTTGGCCACTGAACCCCATAATTCACGCCGTAATCCACGATGTGAACCTTTTTCCTCCCTGCGATGGCCTTGAGGATTGTGATGTTGGAGAACCTGAATGCCATCATTTTGAAACAGCAAGCTGCTAGGTACAACCAGTAGGCTTTGAGGTACTCCATGGCCGAGATTTGCTCAGCCATGAGAGACCTGTAGAGCTGGCTCCCTGACCCTGCCAGCCGCGCCTCCAATCCCTCTGCAAAACAATGCGCCAACCTCTGTGTGGCGTCACCCCTCGGCGACGAGCACTGCTTGATCTGTCTAAGCAATTCAGTCGCACTGCGGCGGTTGTCCATGGCCACGGCCTGTGCACAGTGGATGAGCAAGGTGCTCAGCTCCACCGCCTCGTTGGCGCTAGACCTTCCCTGCGCCGACTTCGCTCTGCCCTTCCTGGCCTTCTTCTTAGCCTCACTGCCCATGGTGATTCGCAGGGCCTCCATTTCTTTGAGGCACAATTTCAGTCCATTGACAATCATTTCATCTACCATCTCGCCAGTTTCCTCAGGCTCGGGCACCATCAGCTTGCTCTTCCTGCACGCCTCAGCCTCCAAGTCATCCCAACTGAGCCTGTCCCTGTCCTTGCGGCCCCTGCCATTAATGCCCAACTCCTCCTCCTCTGCCTCACGGTCGATTAGGAGGCTGTTGGTGGTGGGCAAGAACTTCTTGGCCTCCTCCATACCCTTGAGGAATGCCTTGTTGAGCATCTCCGCGTCCGCGTCTCCCCTGTTGAAGAAGACGGAGGCCAGCGCCGCGTGGTCACCGTCGCCGGTGGGCAAGGTTGTGGTCCTTAATTGCGCCGGACTCTGCTCGAACTCCGGGCTGCCACCACCTTGTGCGGGCAAGAAGAAGGTGCCGACGCCGTCGTCGGTGAAGCCGTGCAGTCCCGTATCGGGGTACGGCGGGGACAGGAGGAGCTGGACTGGGCCGTCGGAGGAGGACGGCGAGATGGTGGCGGGGGACCCCGAGGAGGCGGCGCTGTTGGTGCGAGCCGTTGCGTCAGAGAGGATCTGCGCGTACGGTTCCTGGGCTTGGAGGAGCACGGGGTGGTCGGGGAACTGGTAGAAGAATTGGTCGTTGATGTCCTCCTCCATGAGGATCCGCGTGATGAAGGGGAGGACGAGGTCGTCCGACGAGGCCAGGACCTCGCCGTTGCTATCGGGGCGCGGCGTCGGGGGCAAGTCGAGGAAGATGGACGGGGAGAAGGGCTCGGGAACAGCGAAGAGGCCCTCGCCCTCCGGCGCGGCGGCGGCCATGGCTGCTGGTGAGATAAAAGTCCAACAACGGCGATGCCTTGTTTAGAGTGTGGGTGGATGAAAGCTCAAGCTTTTTGGGGGTGTTTGGAGCGTTGCCCCGTCGGCCTGGCTGCGCCCCCGCGTGTTTGATGTCTTTCAGCCCGGCTTCCGGACGCATTTTGGTCCTCTCGGCCTGGCTTTGGGGAAGCGCTTCCCCCTTCGTTTCTTAGGCATGGCCGTACGCGGCTTCCGTCGAGCGATTTCGGCGTGATTTGTGGCGACGGCAGCCGGCTCGCGGGGGCTCGCGGGAAGTGTGAAACCTCGCGCGCGCTTCGGCTACCGGTGAAATCCGTCGCCTTTATAAGCGGCCCACCTCTTTTGAGCTCCCCTCCTTCGTCTCCATTGCTTCCCCACCAAATCCCGTGAGAGACCGGCGGTGTGTTGAGGTGCAGTGTCCGGCGAGGCGGTGTTCTTCCCCGGCGGGTTTCCTCTCCGTTCCCCCGGCCCGGATCTGGTCGGACGCGGCGCCGCACCTTGTTCCTAGCTGGGACTCCGGGACACCAAGATCAGTTGTATTCTGTCACTAAATTCCGATAACCACAGGATCAAAATCCAACGAACCAAATAAAAAAATAAAAACATAGTGAAAAAAACAAAGAAAAAATACAAATTAATTAGATCAGTTGTATGAAATGCAAATTAGAAGAAAATCAAAGCAAAAAAACAAAGAAAAAAGACAGATTTAACGGATCAATTTTATGAAAGGCAAATTAAAAGAAGATCAAAGCAATAAATCATACATAAACAAAGATCAAGAACTGTTCAAGTAATCCAAATCACCATTCTCATTTAAAAAATCAATTTATACCAATTAAACATAGGACTTACACCCAAATAGGAATAGTAAAATATGTTATAACGAGATGTAATCTGTAACTACTAACCAAGGAATGAATTTGTGCAAGGTTGCAGCGGCGGTCGGTCGGCCTTGGCTGCGACGCGGCCGTGCCTGCAGTGGATGGGTGGGGAGGCAAAAGTAAGCGGAGGCGCGGCAGCTTGAATGCTCGGGGCCTGGTTGACAGCGACGTCGGGACGGCAGGGCAAAGGGGCACGCGGCGTGGGCGCGCCGGGGTGCAGGGTCGTAGGTGTGGTGGGGTGCGTTGGCACCGGGGCAGGGTCAGAGGCAAGCAAGAAAGAGAAGGGGCAGGGTCGCGGACGCTAGGGGCGGACGCAAGGAAGAAAGAGAAGCAACGAAGAAAGAGTCCACAAGGAGATGTTTACGGCGCCCAATCCAAATCGTGTAAGGCCTTGTTTAGATTGTCTACCAAAAGTTTATACCTTATTCTATCGAATGTTTGACACATACCTGAAGTATTAAACATAGGACTAAAAAATAATTAATTGCACAGATTACGACTACTTTGCGAAACGAATTTTTTAAGTCTAATTAGTTCATGATTTGACAATGTGGTGCTACAGTACACATGTGGTAATGATGAATTAATTAGGCTTAATAAATTCGTCTTGCGGTTTACCGACGGATTCTGTAATTTTTTTTTATTAGTATCCGGACAACTCATATAACACCTGATGTAACATCCCAAAACTTTACGCTCTAGATTTATACCAGGCCTAAATGCAAAGTAAGTGGGGTGTAGGGGTGTCAGCTAGACTGAAGTAAAGCACTGTCTGATGGAACGTGACAGCCCTGTGGACTGTCGTGCTACGTGAGTGCCGTTTTCCAGCTCTATGCGATGGGGAAGAGTGCGCGGGCACAGAATGATCGCGTCCGTTGCCAACACCAGATGGACGGCCAGCAAATCTAGTGACCAACGCTCGAGCACCGTAGAGATTTACCGTAAAAAAAGTCCAGGTACACCTGCTGCTTTTTTGAAAGAAAAAAAAAGATCAAACACCTGCTGCTAACATACAGTACGTAGGAGTAGTCTCTGTCTTGTCCTGTACAATAGAGAAACTTTTTTTTCCTTTTGCTTGACCAAACTCTGCAGTACTCCGTATCAAATACCTGGCACAGTGGCACTTGCAAACAGGGTACCAGTCTGACAGTCTCTGTATTGGCCAAATTAAGTTATTTCTTTCTTTTAAGTGGAGAATACACAGCACAAATTTTGACACACTAGACATGAATCATGGTGACTAAATATGGTCTGGTAATATAATACTCTTAATTACAACACCTGTGACCTGTCTGGATGAGAAAATTATGCTGAATATTATTCAGTCGAAACTATACTCCTTATGACACACACTCTCCTTATGACGCACACTCTGAATTTGCCACTCTGTTGTACTTTATTGATAATACTTAGTACTACCTCGTCTCTAAAAGAATACAATTATGGATTACGTGCCACTTTGAGTGCTTCACGTTGGACCAAGTTTCTAGTAAATAATATTCACATTTATGGCTCCACATTAATTTATTATGAAAATAAATTTCGTAATTAATCTAATGATATTTATTTTATATTATAAACATTTATACTTTTTTATCTATAATTGGTCAAAGGTGATATACTAAAACATGATATTGTTCTAGAATTGCATTCTTTTAGGGACGGATGCAGTAATATGGATGAATAGAACAAAAGACATACTAATCTTTACCTCTTCTACATGCTTCAGTTGTCCCAATGTCAACCAGTCATAATCAACATGTTGAAAGCCCTAGTTTGGTTTTTGGATAATTGATGAAACCTTGGTTTTTGGATAATTGATGAAACCTATGCGTTTGTCATTAAGTGTTGTGATTGAGATAGGGTGGTACACACCAAGTGATGGAGCTAGATGATGGTCATGGTAATGGTGGTGACAAAAAGAAATGATCAAGTGCTCCAACTTGGAAAAGAAGAAAGAGAAAAACAAAAACCAAGTGTTGATCAAGGCAAAGGTATCAAATAGGTTTTTGTTTTAGCACTCAAGACATCATAGAGGGTGTGAGTATGTTTAGGATCGATAGCCATACTATAAAGAGAGGAAATCTTTGACTAAGCGGTTATTGAGTGGCACTAGGTGAAGTGATTCTTGCATATGCATTAGGGACCTAGTGTGCTAATAATTAACCCTTAAAAAATGCTTGGAAAAATGCTAACACACGGGCACATAAGTTGTACACTTTATGGTTAGCAACTTAGAAGCAATGGTGAAGTATTTAAGGAGATAGAAAAAGAAAAGGAGGTGAAGGTGCAGGACCGGACCCTGACCATGCGCATCCGGTCAGCTGTTTGAGCTGAGGTCAAGAGAGTCATGTTGAGACCGGACTTGGTGTCTGGGAACTACCGGACTCGGGCGCGTGAGTCCGGTCATGTGCAGCAGAGAGGGCGCTGCTCGGTCGAGTGACCGGAAGCTGAAGTGGTGGCACGACCGGATGCTGGTGGAACACTGTTCCCGCGTCTGGTCATGACTTGGTGGCGCACGCTGTTCAGAGCATCGAAGGACCGGACGCTGGCCCGTCAGGTCATCACTGACCGAACGCGTCCGGTCATGAAAAAACCTCTCTGGTGCCTTTCTGGAGTCGACCAGACCCTGTGTGGTGCCGAGTCCGATTAGTTTAGCGGCGCGTCCGGTCATCACTTAACTCACGAGCGCGATGTCAGTTGACCGTTGAAGATGAACGTGAGAGGTTAAATGCGATGCCACGAGGCGACCATCGGTGGACCAGACGCTGGCGATCGAACGCTGGGGTGCCTCCGGTCGCACATGCGACTGCCAACGGCTCTTTAAGCCTTGGGGGCTCTATAAATAGAAGAGTCACGGCTTGGGCTGATTCTCTTGCATATTTTCATCAGTGATACATCCTTGTGAGCTAAAGCAAACACCTCCCACTCATTTCCATCATTGATTCATCATCAAAGTGAGATTGAGAGTGACTTCTAGTGCATTTGCTTGAGTGGTTGCATCTAGTGGCACTTGGGTATCGTTGTGGCTGCGGATTTCTTGTTACTCTTGGTGTTTGCCAACACCTAGATGGCTTGGAGCAGAGGAGGAGCATTGGCACGAGTTGGTGATTGTTCGTGGCCATCTCCCAGTGATTGTGAGGGATCTTGTACCTTCCCCGGCGGAGAGCCGAAAGATAACTCTAGTAGATTGCTCGTGTCATTGAGTTACCACACTTAAGGGTAGGTTCTTGCGGTGCCCAAGTGTTGGGCTAGGTGTGTGATACCTATTAGCTGCCGAACCACCAAGTGCTGGATCAACACAACGAGGACGTAGCTTGCCGGCAAACAAGTGAACCTCGGGATAAATCTTGGTGTCATCTCTTGGTATTCATATTGTGATTGATCTTCTCTTGCGACGAGCGGTATAATCACCCTACTCATCTCCCTTGTACTACATTGTTTCATACTTGTTGTAGTTTGAGTAGAGTAGCTCTCTTGCTAGTTAGTTGAACAACTTGTTTAGCCTCTTGTTAGTTGTTAGTTAGCTCAACTAGAGTAAGAGTAGTGACATAGCCTTTGTGTGTGCCTAGAGATTGTAAAGAACTAGAATTATGGTATAGGTGACATGCAACCTTTGTGGAGCTAGAGCAAAATTGCATTACGCCATTTAGTGCACTAACCATTTGCTCTAGTGAATTATAGAGAATTTTTATAGGCTATTCACCCTCTCTAGCCATTTAGGACCTTTCACTTGTCTACGTCTGGTCAGGTGCTATCCCCTGTTCCACACATGGACAGATGAACCAAATTGTTAGTGCTCCAAACCTAGAAAAGAAATAAACAAGACAGTACCACAAATGCCCAGCCTGTGAGATTGAACAAACACGCAAAAATATTGCATAAGCAAAAACATAGGGCTCGGATGTTTAAAAGGATCCTGCAAGTATAACGTAAGTTTGCACCGTATTTTTAAAAAATAATATAAATCTCATCTAAAAAATACTAGATGATGTTGGTGCAACAGATCATAAATTCTCACTACACCACAACCCACCTTTCCCTACAATTATGTGTTGGCAAATCAAGGGTTTTGGCAACACATAATGTGTTGGCAATTCTTTA